CCATGTCAAATACATAGTGATGAGGAATGTACCAATGTAATTTCTGCCTGCCAGTTTACCTCTGAAATGGTGGTTCTTAATTCTTCCTCCCATAGCCTCGCCAAACGATCAAGTGGTAAAAGGCCAACTCTTGGGATATTATCATATAACACAGACACCAGACCTCTGTCGATCGGATTCATACTCAAACATTCATCTATCCATGTACTCTGAGGAGTTATTAAAGAGAAATGTGTTTTTACATAACTCCATACCTGCAGGTATCTAAAGAAATCTGAATGAGGGATACTGAAGTCTTTCTGTAACCGTTCAAAAGAAAGGAAGTCCTTCCTTAAAAAGGTCCTTCACCCATTTAATCCCTAACTGGAAACACAACTGGAAAGATGAATCCATGAGAGATGGGGCAAAATTGATGTTGGCCAGGATAGGGGAGATTATAAGAGCTTGTTTATGTTTAAAATTAATCCTAAACTGTGACCATATCTTCAGACAGCCAGAAACGATTGGGTTATTTGTCCGACAACGTTTACTAAGGGGTAGCGGGGAACAAATTAAAGAGCGAAGCGAGACAGGATTACTGGAATACTGCTCCATTTGGCACCAGACTGGAGATTCATCATCTGACGCATCAGAGACCCAGAACAACAGTTTGTGGATGTTTGCCGCCCAGTAATAATAATAATAATAATAATAATAATAATAATAATACCGCCTTTTTGTGTACGTCTTTCTAAGTACTCCTTTCGAATTCGGGGGACTTTTTTATTCCAGATAAACGTAGATATGAGCTTATTTAAGTCCTTAAAAAAAGATTTAGGGATAAAGACAGGTATTATTTGGAAAAAACATAGAAATCTGGGCATAATAGCCATTTTTACTGAGTTGATCCTTCCGGCAAGTGACAATGGGAGGGTTGACCATCTCTCCATGTCCTGTTTGGCCATGGCCGTTTTGAAATTGCTGTCGAACAGATCCCTGTACTTATAAGTGACGAGAACACCCAAGTAAGTAAAGCTATCCTTACTAAAAGGTAAATGGAAAGTCCTGGAATGACATCTGGTGTGCTTTGTCGTTTATCGGGAATAAAACACCTTTAGTTAAGTTTAACTTATATCCTGAGACTTGCCCGAACTTAGTGATGGGATCGATTGCAATTGGTATAGTAGTATATGGGTCTGAAAGAAAAAGGACATGGTCGTCCGCATAAAGTGATAATTTATGCAAATGTCCTGCCCTTCGTACTCCTTCCAGATTCGTGGTCTTCCTTAACATTATTGCCAAAGGTTCGATGGCAATATCAGATATCTGGGGGCTCAAGGGGCACCCTTGTCTTGTCCCCCGAGAGAGAGGGAAATAATCTGATGTTATCTTGTTTGTTCTTACTGAGGCCTGAGGTGCCGGATAAAGAGTTTAATCCATGAGCAGAAAGTAGGACCAAAGCCAAACCTCTCTAACGCAGTGAACAGGTAATTCTATTCAATCCTGTCAAAAGTTTTTGTGCATCCAAGAACAGTATTAGCTCTGGCTCAACATGGTTGGGTTGGTCTATAATGTTGAAAACTCTGCGAATATTGCTTGACAGTTGCCTGCCTACAAAAAACCTGTCTGGTCTGGGTGTATCAATTTAGGCATTATTTTCTCAAGCCTACATGCCAATACAGCTTACTGGTTAACATATACTGACCATCTAACCAATACTGGTTAGAATTTTATAGTCGCAACATAGTAGGCTGACTGGCCGGTAGGACTCACACAGTTGCAGATCTTTATTTTTATTTTTTTAACAATAAAGCGATGATAGCCTGTGTCATACTCGGGGGAAGAGTTTTTTTTACCCAGGACCTCTTCAAAGACCTTCAATATGTATGGCATTAATTTAAATGTTTAAAAAAAAAAATTCTATTGGGAACCCATCAGGGCCTGGTGCCTTTTCAGGTTTCATTTTTTTTTAAATTGCATTATTAATTTCTGTTAGGGTTATATGCCTAATTCGTCTAAGGAGGGCATTTCCAGGTTACTGAAGAAATCGTAGCCCTCCTTAACTTCTTTTTATTTTCACCAGCCATGTAGGATATTATTTGTCCCCTTATATACACGCTTTCATGGTTTCCCACAGAGTGCAATAGCTTATCTCCAGGGATTCATTAGTTACTAAGAATAAGTCTATTTGTGTGTTTATGAAATCAACTAATTTTTTATCATCAAGTAATCTTGAGTTAAGGCGCCATGTACGTTTAGGAAGTATGTTTTCTGGAAATCAAAGCTTCAGAAGTACTGGGCAATGGTCCGAAATGACTATAACTGGGAAATCAGTGGAAGTAGTTTTTGGTCTATTAAAAAATAATCGATTATGTTATTCGCTCTAGACCAGCTAAAATGTAAATCCAATGTGTAAAAAGTAGGGCAGCCCCTAATGATTATTTTCCTTATTAATTAATAATTCATCGATTCTTTGAGCTATACAAAGTCGGAAAAAATTACAAAATGCAATTTACCTTTGTGACTTTTTTTATTGTGACTTTAATTATTGAAATAATAGATTATTCATGTAAAAGTTCTATGTGTGCCTTTCAGAAAACTCTTGTTATCAATGACACCAGTGGTTTTTAACCAATCTGTTGTGAGCATACTGTTGCTCGTGCTTATACATTCAATTCATAGGCTTGAGCAAGCATCATCCAGGGCATATCCCAGCCATGTGACATACACTAGACTGAATGCTGAAATGAGCACCTAATGGTGGAAAATAAATTACAATCATATTTAGAATAATAATAATAATCTGAAATGTTCCTATATTTCATTTGTCCAACAGCGGTGTAACAGCAGACTCCATTGCTGAGCTAGCGTTGCACACCGTTGGTGCTGCAGGGGAGCGGAAGAGAAGCCACTTAGGAGCGAGCATAAGCATCACATCCTTTGGATATTCCCAGAAAAACTGTCCCGAGTCCTTAATATTGAATTAATATTGATCAGTCCACATGCTGTTATAGGCAATCGAGAAAGCGGGGGACGGTCTCATGTTTGCAGTTACGTTACAAGACGTTCACACATTGGCAATACAAAGCAATTAACACATGTAAATTCTTACATATTGCACCTTTAATCTTTAGTACGCTCTAGTAAGTCAAACATATTTGTTATCATTACTGTTCTTTTTGAAAGTTGTAGTTGCTTTCCATTTACAGTGAACAACTGCATCTTGAGAAAGCGCATTGTTTCCTTGACAGTGAAGTCTTTTAAAAAATTATATTTAAGGAGGAATCTACTCTGTGTCATTAATGTTGGTTATATTTATTTACACACCACAGTCCATAGGATATTATTAACTTAGAATTTGCATATCTTTGGTATTGTTTATGTATGGCCCCTACAACAGCCAGTGTACTGGAGTGTATATTGTATACACAGTAGTGTGGTTTCATATTGAACATTGTCATGCACTATTTTCCTCCCACGTGTGTTTATGTTTCAACAGTTAATGTAAGTGGAAAGGAGCTTTTAAAATGTAAAGAAATGAAAAGGCTCACGTCTACTGTCAGATACTGGGCTTCTTACAAAGCTGAGGGATCACATTTAAATCGAGTACATATCTTGGGGCACACGCTTCAATCATCAGAGTTAAGAAAACGTGCTTTTGTTAAGATCCTATGCTGGCTGATGTTTACAAAAATTCCACAATGATGGATTACTGTACTATAAACACACCCAGCTCAGTATTTCATAAACAGTAATGCAAAAACGATTACAGGCAAATAGTGATGACTGTCCCGAATGGTTTGAATTGTCAAGTAGGTCATTTCTATATTAGTAACAAACAGAACACACAGCACAATTTTCTATCAAAAAAAGTGTCTCTTTCCTTGAAAACTTCCTAGATGCTGGGTGATGTGAGGCCAAGCTTAACAAAGAGGAAGTGTATGCTTTGGACACATGACAAGAGTGCCAAAGATAAAAAGATAACCATGGATAAAAGTCCATTTAGAGCATCCCTGAGGGTTCATGTAACACTAAATGCAACTCAGATTAGCATGTGGCATTAAGCAGTGCTGATCACATACTGTATGAGGTTGTGGCAAGAAGCTATAAACACATGTTTTGGTATCTGTGGAGTAAGATCAGTGATATCCATCTTAGCTTGGCAATGAAAAACTACTTGTAACAGGTGGACAGCAGCTTGTGAAACCTAAACTTCTGAAGAGCCACCAAGCAAATGTTATTAGAGCAGGCAAACAACGTGTCTGATTATGTCCATAAAATAAGTCAAACATTTTTTGGAAAAGACACTCAAATAAACACTGACTCAAGAGACTGCAGAGAGTATGCTTCATTATTGTGACAAAGTTATGTTGACAAAGGTGTAAAATAATTTGAGACACCTGAAACCATTTGCTGTCACTGCAGAGACAGTTACATAGGTTCTGACGGCCTGCACTATTCATTTGTTATGCTGATGGTGACTGTAGAACCAAAACATATTTATTTCAATTCTTAAAAAGGAAGAAATAGGTCATATTGTTCCCGATTGCTGGCTATATTCCAGTTTATAAACCCTAAAGATTAAGGTTGAGTGATTTCTCTATACTCCATGTAATCGCTTCCGAAGGAATCCAACTTGAACTAGGAAATGCAATCACCCACAACATCCACAAACACTGTGGCAGCTGCACAAGACCAGGACTAAGACTAAGATCAAATTTAGACAGTCCATAATGACATGTTCAAGTTTTGGGTCCCCACAAAATTTTTATTATACTTACATTTGGGCCATTTATACAACATCTTGGTTCTTCAAGCAAATGGCTGCTCATCTACATCCAACAACATAATGCCTTCATTCTCATTCACGTTTTTCAACTTCCTTGTGTAATGTGGTCACAAATGGTTGTTCATTAACTTGTGTGATGAGGTATATGGGGTTATGAGGGCACTGCAGATAACAACAGCGGAACTGACATTTACAACAAAAAATTCCACTGTGGAATTTTTCATAGAACCACAACCAGCTGCATCACAATGGACACATTAAACTATATAGTTTACCAGCTTTTTTGAAGCAGTATTTGAAAAAATATTCTTAGTAAACCTGGGTGAAGCAGACTGTTTCTACTGCTAAACAAATTGTCACATTTAGTCTATATATGAAACATCATCTCGCTAAATTATTACACTGCAAAAATTATAGCGGTTTATTTTTCTCCTTAATTTTTTTTGTAGTAGCTATTTTAAAATTAATATTTAATATTGTTGATGGACTGTTTGTTTGCATGAGGTGATTATTTTAATCACTGCCATAAAAGGAAGGTCGTTTCTGAGTACAAAGCTCATTTTGCCCCATTTAGACAGTTAAATCACTGTCCATTAAAAAAAATGTACATAAGCATACAGTACTTTTAGATGCGTTTCCTATTTATTTGAATTATGATATGCTTCTTGAAGCGTCACCTGACAGTGTGAATGACAGTGTTGTTACTCTGTTGTGGTTGGACACCATCAGAATGTAAATAAAGGTGTGTAGTATTTGATGCAGACTTCTAAGGAGGAGGACTGGACTGATTATCCATGAAGGACTATGAACATCAAAGCTCAAGTGAAATTAATATACTTGATACTGGTATTTCAGGATCATTTTAAAGTGAGAAAATGAGATCTAGATTTACAAAACAAATTTAGATGACAGAAATAAATAGACTGGCTAATTACTGGAGGAGACCTTCTTACTTGCCAACCTGCTAAATGCAGGGGGAGAGGCTGACACATGATACATCACAAACACTGCCTGGTAGGGGGATCCAAAAGGAAGGGACACACCACCCTTTTACTGGGAAAGGCTCCCGCTCCCATCCTGCCTACATTACATTATCCCCCACCACACATGCACCACATCCACACATGGCTGGCATGACTGTGCGCTGCTCTAGTATCATGCTGTTAAATTTGAATCCACGGGACCAGGCAGTGCTACAGACCAGCAGACTATCTGGAGTCAGGGGGAATATTTCAGAGGCACTTTATTTATATCAGCAAGGGGCACTGCTTTTCCCACCACTAAAATTAGCCCGGCTAAATACTTAAGCTGATTACTCACAGCGCTAACAGAATAATAAAAATGGAGAAGTATTCTAACGTTTGACACACGCACAACAATAAACAAACCCACTTGCAAGCTGAAAGTCAGGCAACCTATCCTTCACACTCAGGCTTTTCTTGGAAACCAATATTCAAACGGTTTTACTGTAATGTAACCGAATAGCTCTGAATGTTTGTCCACATTGGGCTTGTTAATTGCATGACTTAGCTGTAGCAATCTTCTCGCTTACTGAATTTCGCTCCTAGCTTGTGGTGAGCCTAATGGCTGACGCTGAGTAAAAAGAGTTTTAAGGATTTGAATTGCAATGGCAGGGAAGGAGAGCGGCATTATCAAAGCATATATATTCCATACTGAAAAATATCTTTCATTACTGTATTTGTTATTTGCAGCATTTTTAATTTTATTCTGTAAATGAAAGTAGAAGTCTAAGTGGTGTCAGCTGAGCAGTGAAACCAAAGCAGTGTGTAATCTACCTGAACCGGTTAAACAACATTATAGATGACTGCACAGTACTCCATAGGGCCTTTATGAGTCAGGTATTTTACAAATGTGTATTTGAAAGCTATTTGCCTCTCAGATAGATGTGAAGTTTCATTAATGTGAGCTTGTTCCTGATGGTCAAGGGAAACAGTTAATTCCAATTAAGAAACTTAACACTCACCTTGGTGTTTTGACCTGGGCTCTTTGGTGTGCCATTTCCTTTGTGGCTTGTGTTTACATCAGTAACAGAGCTAGGAAACTTAACAGGGCAGCAAGGAGACAAATGAATGTGCACATGTGGACAGCAAGGGCTACTGAGTTTTGGATTTGAAACGTGACATGAAATTCCAGTGTTTGGGTAGGGCACCTCCAGGGAAAAGCTTCTTTGTATTGCGCGATGACAGTAGTTTTCCTCAGGCCTTTCCTGGCCTTTTCCTGATGAACAGACCTTTTGTTTTTTCTCCGATTGTTTAGCTGAGGAAAACAAGCAAGCAGAGGTACTACGATACAATTTTTTGCGAGGTTCATGTTCACCGTTAGGGTGTGCGGCTGGGTTAGGAGCCTCAGCATATCCTACATTGACTGTAGCCGTGGTTGTAGCTCCCTTCCCGGGCATCATTGGTCTCTGGTGGGCAAAGTGCAGCAGTACGCTGCTAGAGTGACGGTTAGATCTGTCTAGAGTTGATGACAGTTCCATTACTTTACTCCTGTCCTCCATTTTGCATTTTGGTTCATCCTGTAAAGGAATATTAAATTGCACCATGTGTTTGGTGTCCCTGAACTCAGCTAAACAGCTTCCTTTTGGGAGACAATGGCCACTTACTGCCGTGGTGATGGACCCTTTGCAAGTCACTTCCTCATCATCCTGTGAGAATTCACTTGCAGATGTCTGAAAAGATGACTGATGAGACCCCCTCACTGGTGGGAGAGCCACTGGACTTACTGGGGAAGCAGGTGGGGTGCTGCAGGGGCTCTTTGGAAATATAACCAAGGAGGAACATCGTCTCAGCGGGACCTTGGACTTGCGGCAGTGTAGACTACTCTCCTGGGTGGTCCTCTGCTTTTCTGGAGCCTCTGGCTCAAAGATGCTGTTGCTGCTACAGTACCCGGCATCGCTGGCCATGCTGCTGCTGCACGAGCCTCCGTCAGAGCCACTACCTGCTCCTCCTTCACTGCCCCCCGGGTCACCATCCTCTATACTGCCATCCAGTGCTCCACTGAGCTTTCCACAGGGCTGCAGTGAGATCTGCAGAACGCTCTTCTTATTACCCCCTCCGGTGTTAACCCTGGGTAAGAACACTGAAGAGTACTGTTGTAAATTAGCATAGTCTGGTGACAGAGGGGTCACCTTCAAGTGGACAGAACTGTGAGCCAGAATCTCTGCGGGGCAACGTGCTGGCACACTGACTCCACTCTCCTCACCATGGCTGCTGAGGCTTTCTGACAGAGGGTCCGTGTTGCTTCTTCTTGACGCAAAATGCAAGCGCAGCCGACGTGCCATTCGTTTTAACTCTCTAATCCCTGCAGCGCCGGTGAGAGCTGCATGATCAAACTTGCTGGAAGAAAAAAAGGAAAGCAAAGCAACTGCTCCGTGCTCTGCTCTGTGATCACAATCATTTGCGGCTGTACATTGCCAAAATAGCTCTGGTGACAACCCACATTCCCCTCCAGGCTGATCTCAGCTTTTAGTCAGAGGAGGTCAGTAGCTCTCTTTGGAGACGTGACCCAAACATACGACCTTTGAAACTGGAGCAATCCCAGAGGCTAGCCCATTCAGGGAGCTTAAACCCTATATGGAAAAACTAAATTACACTATCTTAGACAGAGCTTCCATGGCTAACCTGCTTTATAGCCTTTGCTTTGCCTAGTTCCAGCCAGACTAATATCGAACACCTTGTGTCTTTTCCAGTCGTCTCTCTCCAGTTTACCCCTTTGGAAAACACAACAACATGGTAGCCCCTCTTCCTTGCATCTTAAGACTAAAGCTCTGGTAAACTGTTAGAACTGCCTCAGGCCACTCACTCAAGACTTCCTGCTGCAGCTATGCTTCTAATGTTTCTGCTGCCCTGTGCCCCCACAAATATTTTTACCCACTGCTATTGAATTACAGGAAATCTAAGGGAATGACTTTCAACATAATTCTATACCAAAATGAGGAGTGGGTTGCAAAATCAGATAGCAGACAATGAAACCAACATAGTCTGTGAAAATATGCAGGAAAGTGATTGCAAAAGTACAACTAAAGCGAAATGTTTTTTGCTTGCAAAGAAACAGAAAACATTGCATAGATAAAGTAACCTGGGACACATTATCTGCCTGCCTATAGAAACACAAGATAATAAGAACGAGAAAGAACTGGGATTGCTTCGACAGTGACATGACACCTGTTAAACGACACCTCATGTAACAGCCAGTGCTGGTCTGATTTCCTCTCCATGGCTGTTGACAGTACTATTTATTAATGGCAGCCTATTGTGAGTCAGGCTGGCCTATTTCAGGACATTACTCTTCATCCATAACAGTTCGAGGATAAGGTGTAATATTTAGAGACACAGCCAGGATAAAGACATGATTCACCAGAGTACACTTCGCCATTGCAACTCATTGCCTATTTTTTTCAACCAACATGACCAACTACCAGTAAACCTCGTGACTGGCTATTAAAATCACTCATCAGTCACAAGCAGTTTTATTGATAATAGGCCGTAAGATAAGACTGGCGACACACACAACACATTTATGCCAAGTCATATGATATGGTGTAATATGCCAATAATAAAGCCGCCTGTAACATATATGAATGTGGCACCAAAAAGAACAGTGAGGACAAGCTATATTTAATAAACTCTTTAGAGAAATGTGTTCGAGTGTCATTACAAACTGGGTGGGGTGTTAGATTAGAGGCTGGACATGAAAGAAAGGAGGACTCTGTCATTCAGCCGGTGCAGCTGTAATAAGCTAAGCTAACAAGTTGCTAAACTGAGTCTGAAACCACGGAGTGGCAAGCAAACTGTTCATACTTCAAGGTCCAGTGTGAATTGGACACACTTATTTAGGAGGACCTATTGACAGAAATGCAACATAATATACATGAATATGTTGTCAGTGGTGTATGAAGACCTTACATAATAAACCGTTACGTTTTTATTACCCTAGAATGAGACATTTCTATCTACACTTATATGGATGTCGCCATGTTGCGCAGCCATGTTTCAACAGTAGCCGAAACGGACAAACGACGCTACCGAGTGCGTTTCGTCTATTCTATTCGTCTACTATGTTCAATACGTACGAAGTAGACAGAAAAAGAAAAAGAAGAAGTAGTAGTAGTTGTAGTCGTCTGGTTCATTAGAAGTAAGAAGAGAGGTGAAATTTGGACAAATGGGGGCCACATGTATTATTTAGCACGAGAGCCGACAGAGCGTGTCAGCCACCATAGCTTCTCCTACGTGCTTGCAAATGGAGGGGTGAGCGGTGAGTGAGCCGTTGGTTGCAATTCGCAACCCTCACCACTAGATGCCACTAAACTGAACCTTTAGGTATTCAAGCAATACGTCTCCTGTGCATCACATGACAGTATTTTTTCTCATTACTGGTCCCAGCTACCAATTTGGCCTTATACATTATATGCAAGTGTGCTCACCGATTTTCCTCTTAATTGCACCTTTACACTCTGGGGCCTCAAAATGTCCTACCTGCTTGTCCTATCTCAAATTTTAAAAGATAAGGGAAAAAAACATGGTCGTGTCTTCTCCTATCTCAGACCTTGTATATTATCTTAACTTTAAAAATTCTAACTAGAAGTGTAAACTCAATTCCTGTATCCTTAACAATGGCAGTCTCACTTCACTTGTCACTGGGCTGGCTAGCTTGCTATAATGGACAAGTAAAGAGGGGCGTTAAATTTTAGCGATGAGTCATAGGCAGTAATCGAGAGGAAACTCCACCTTTTTGGGAAGTTTTCTTCCATATTATCGGCCAAGGATAAAGATTTGAACATAGGTAGCATGTCGATCAAATTCAAAATGAAGCCCCTTGACAGTCAATACATATCCATTAATTCATGGTCAGTGAAATTTAAAGCACCATCGTACGGTTTGAAGAGCCTTTCAATCATAATATTTTGGTGTTCATGTTCATCCTAATTGCAATTGCCATTAAGACCCAACAACAGTGGTGCTGCCACTTTTAGCAGTTATAACTTTTTTCCTAAATGCAGTAACAAGTTTCTGTTATACCAAAAACCGTAAATGTCATCCTAAACTGAGATAAGGGATTTCAGCGGAAGTTTCTGTAATAGTGTAGCTTCTGTTTCACGTTCATTCTCCATCATTTATAATTATTTTACAGACATTATGCAGTCTGACGAGACGCAGTGCATTTTGGGGAGGTTGAGTATACTTTTTTCTCACATACACACTACATACTCAATTTGTTAGTGTAAAAATTTAAAGACAGCCATCGTTACATCCACAATGTGTCCAAAATCACTCCCTATTTAATATATGGTGCCATCCACTTACTTACTTTTAGTTGAGCAACTGCATTTTGAATGTGTAAATGTACCCACTACAGAGACACTCGCTGGAACGAAAACTGTTTCCAAAATCTGGATTTATTTCTCACTGTTGGGGTTGGCAATAATAGTTGACATATGCCTTTGATATGAGACACCTGGTTTTGTTTACCACTGCGACACATCCACCAATGTGTCCCTGAGCAAGACACTTAACCCCTAGTTGCTCCAGAGGTGTGCAACCTCTGACATATATAGCAGTTGTCACTCTGGACAAAAGTGTCAGCTAAATGAGTAAATGAAAAACTGCTGTGCGTCCATTATATACTGTAAGGAGTAGAGTGAATGATGAACACAGGAGTCGCAGCTCCAGTTTTTTGTTGGATCTGTGTACACGCTGATATTGACAAGCATATTTAATCTACAGGTGCTGTATTACACTTGTTTTGTAATTGTTGATTTGTGATTCGATAAAATTTTGTTTTCCATGATGATGAACGATCAGCTTACTGCTAACAAAGCTAGCCACTACTAGCTATCTGGAGCTAATGCGCTAATGCAACAGTCTAAGTAACAGACTGTTGATTTACTATTGGGCTGCAAATTACCTTTCTTTACTTTTCTTCTTGTAAACTTTATGTATATTAATTACATTATTTACTTCATATGGGTATTATCATTGATTTTTCACTGATAATTCTTTATTTCTGCTAGTCTATACTCTAGTGAGTCCAGTTTCTTTGTTAGAATTGCTTCAATCCACTATCTTCAACCTCCTTCCTTTATTGGAAGTGTGTTCAGCTCGCTGCATAGCTGTTCAGCAACACACACAGTGAGGGTGGAAGAATACATCTAAGTAAGAAATGCAGATGCCTTAAAGTAGGATTTGTCAGCCTGATTAAAATCACCTGGACTTCAGAGGATATTCTGTTTGTCTATGGAAAGGTCTGGACAAGTTTTTTTTAACCTATTTTCTTTAAGGAAACAACTTGTCTGGTTTAAAAAGTATGGTTGCTTTACTTCTCTTTAGCCTTCAGCAGTCTGTGAAAACGTCTTCCTGAATCTGTTTGTGCAGTCGGTTGCACAACAACCCTTTACTGTTTTATCAGTGTTTTCTCAGTGTTTTCATCATCATGGCCATTCATTCAAGGGGGAGAAACCATGGCAACTTCTACATATAGTGATGTCATGTGCTACCCTCTATTCACACCGTCTCTGCAAGTGAGACAGATGCCAGCCTCTGATATCTGAAAGGAAACCTTAGAAAGGGTCTTATTTAGTTTTTTCTGTGTCTGATTTTGAATATGTTACCACTGGTGTCTGTGAGTGGCTCCAGCTGGGATTAAAACAACTTGGAACCATGAAGAACAACACTGACGTTAAATAATCAGGTCTATCATGGTGAAATATTAACATTTTTCTTGCATTCTCTGCAAATTCCTCTGTGTATGTCAGAGCAGCAGTGACACATACATACACAAACACGCTCACGAGTGCTGACACACCCTCCATCTTTCTATGAAATCTACCTGGAGCATTACAAGGTAGTCACACCCAGGTTTGTTTTATCATGTGACTGCAAACTTGTGAGATTAAGACATGTTATACAGAGCTAAGTTTGTGTTGGCTGTAGTCTGTTTTTATAAATTTTTTTATTGTGACCAGCCATGAGACTGTAGATGAAAATCAAATCAGCATAGGTACAGAAACTCATAACTACAATTCAGTTCAAAAATTGCAAGATATATTTAAATAATTACTACTATCTCAACTACTAAAAAACAATATTATGACTTGTTTTGGTAGAAAATAGCTTAAAAGGGGAATCTGAAGGGGGAAATGACTTCCCTGTAGATTTAATAAAACAAGTTATCCCATTTTTGGAATCCCAAAAATTGTTTTTATGTGTGCCTTTATACTATGTGTGGGGATATGCAGCCATAAGGCAATTAAAAAAAGTTAAGTGTAAGGGTAGGCTAAACTAGCCACAGAATGTGTGAACTTTGCTAATACTGTTTTCCATAAATAAACTCTGTAATGAAATTCTTCCTAAAGAGTAAACTGTAAACTGTGTAAATTGTTTAATTATCAACTTCCCAGTTGATTATATCCCACTAGTCCTGAGATGTTAACTGAGAGATGATGATGACATTTATTTGCTTCATGTCATTAAACACATTCAGTATGTCTGTAGAGTGTTAGGCGATATCTAGTGGGCTCTTTGTTCATGTTGTCTAACTGATTGAATGTGTCTACATTACAGATAACACAGTTAGCAGCAAGTCTCAGACTTGAGACCAGTGGTGAGGTCACTGTGGTCTGGCTGCTCAGGTGTCCCAGGACCTGCTGTGCATCAGACCAGCATGAAACTGGGTCAGCAGCTCCACTGATATCATGCTACAACCTGAAAAGCTTTAACATTGCTGTGCACTAACTGTGTAATCAATAAGAGGGCACTAGACAACAGCATCTATATTCACTGCAGTCTCCTATCTCAGTCTATCATCACACAACAACCCTATGCATTTGTGTCATAACAGAAACTATTTAGTTACATATCGTCTCCGTCATCTGCATAATATTTGTATGGTACATACACATTAGGTTACTAATGTAGCTGGTAAAATTTGTTTTACACCTCTACTACTATGCATTTTAAATATCCAATCTTGTGAGACCATTTCCTGGCTTGAACATCTTTGGGCTGGGTCCAAAATGCTGAGTGTGTTACAACTATCAACACAACAACAATCAATTACGACATGTCCCTTTATAGCAGAGTAGCTCTTAAAGTGGTCATATTATGCTCATTTTAAGGTTCAAAATCTTATTTAGGGGTTATACCAGAACAGGTTTGCATAGTTTCATTTTCAAAAAACACCATATTTTTTGTCATACCTGCAGCTCCTCTTTTCACCCTGTGTGTTGAAGGCTTCGTTTTAGCTATGGAGTAATACATCTTGCCTCTACATGGTCTTTGTTAGGAGTTGCACATGCGCAGGTCTTAATTAAGGAAAACTAGCCAATCAGAAGTAGAGTAGGGTGAGTCAGTGAGAAGCCAGTAAACACAGCTTTGGTTCAGCTGTTTATGTTCCCCTTTCCAGCTTAGCAACAACGACTGGAGCAAGAGTTTCAGAGTGGTGAGTTATTAAACTGTAACAAAAATATCTTTCATTCATAAAGTTGACTGACAAACTGAAACTGAGCTCTGTCTCCTCATCACAGTAGCAACTTTATGTCCATTGACAGCCTGGAGAGTAATTAATGTTTGCAAGGGAGAGAGGCAGCAGGCGGACGTCTTGTCACTGTGTGCTGCAGCTCAGTGTTTTTCCACCTGTGTTTTTGAGGGCGTGTCAGACTAGCCGCTAGGCAAGCATTATGAAGCATGTTTTCCTGTGACGTCCCAAGAAAGCGGAAGAAAATACTGGACTACAAACGAGCTGTTTTCAGGCAGTTCAGAGCAGTATTTTCTGTGGGAGATGGGCTGGACTTTTTCACTTTGCAAACCTGTTACATGAACAAAAAGGATTTAAAACCAAGCGGGAAGCTTTCGGTCAGCAATCTGATGCGAATGCGGAAGTCCCTGAAACCTGCATTCTATTGAACAGCCAGCAGGGGGGCGACTCTTCTGGTTGCAAAAAGAAGTCCGACTCCACTAGAAATAATGGCAAAATAACCCAACTTCTCACCTGAATAATTACCTCAGTAAACACTTTCCTGATGAGTTTATGGTCTCAATCGCTAGTTTCATGTCTTCTTCAATACAAAATGATGTTCATTCACTAAATAATGGTCCCATTTAATTTAAAATAGACCATAAAGCAGAGTATGTTTTCAGGGCGGGAACTGTCAATCAGGCGAGAGTGACTCGTACCCACGGCACTGTGTAAATTTAACCAGCACCGTTGAAAAAGCTTATTAGGAGTTGGCTGTTCACTTTCTCTGGTAAGTACATTTAGTTTTAAGCCTGTTGTTCGCTAGACAAAGTTATCAGCCATGTTAAAATGACAGTTAACGTGAATTAAAGACGCACCTAGCTAAGCAAGCTAGCTAGCTCTGCAGGAGTCCGGTGCCGCTGGTTACAAAAACTCAACATGGCGGCACCCTATCGGCCAAACTCAAGGCTTCAAAACCGCAGTCTACACACCAACAGTTGACGTCACGATGACTACGTCCATTTCTTATATGCAGTCTGTGTATAAAACTCAATAAAGGAGAGGGGAAAAGCCAAAAAGCATAATACCACCTTTTTAAAGTTGATTTCCAATACTTTGTTGTTTGCAAAGATTGTTTTAACATTAGCTGTTCAGTAGCCCTGTCTATGTAGAGGCTGTGCAGGGCTTTTAAGCACATTATACCAGTGATTAATAACACACAACCCCTTAATAATAACAAACGTGTCAAATGTGTCACGTACAGCAGGTTATCCACCTTTCTGGATTTAAGTGTGAATTGCTGTTTTCCTTTGCTAAATGTCCAAAAGTGATGTGCACTAAAAATGAGGAAACAAGACCTAAACAGCGGTGGGGTGGTGATGGAGCATTGGATAAGACCCGGGGGTTCACCAATGTGTCCCTGAGCAAGACACTTAACCTCTAGTGGCTCCAGAGGTGTGTGAATTCTGACATAAATAGCAATTGTAAGTCTTTAAAAACGCTATAAATGAAAATTTAAACAGCATCTGTAGGTGAACTAGAGCAGCAACAATTATTATTAACAATTAGTATTTGCAGCTTTTCTTTGTCTAATGTGATAGTAAATCTGAATGTGTTTTGGTTTTACACTGGTAGTCGGACAAAACAAGCATTTTGAAGACATTGTCTTGGGCTTACAGGCATTTCTTACTATATTATTTTATAGGTGATCAAATAATTAATCAAGACAATAATTGGTAGATTAATTGATAAAGAAAATCATCATTGGTTGCAGCCCTGACGTGAAGCAATCCACCTACTTTCAGTCAACATCAAGATGTACTTTAATAGATAAAAACAGAACTAGACCAATTACAAAGAAAAGGTTGTCCAGCACAAGAGAACAAGCTAAATTTTTCAGTATTATTAAAATTATACACAAATTGAGGAGGAAAAAAACCACAACTTACCAGACGGTTCTCATCAAACACCTCCAAGAGCAGACGATGCACCCTGGGATTAACCTGAAACATAATGTAGACTGTAAAATCAAAACGCAGAAGTACTGGGTTCAACAATGAGCCATGGTCAACATGGTTAAATATGATGAAGGATACAGTAAAGTTTATCCAGTTTTCTGTAATGAAATGCCACAAATGATCTCCTGGCACATTCATGTAAGTGTAAATATTCACTCAACTCAAGAGATACTGTAAATAGTTAGTATACAAAATGTTTATGTTAATTTTTTCCACTTACCCTGAAAAAGAATTCTTCGTTCCATTTTGGGTCCAGTGTCTTCATGTAATGCGAGACAGCAAGGAAAAATAAAGTCAAAATAAAATACACACAAATACAACAAGTGCAGATACAACTGTAGACGTTCATACTCACCCTTTTTATTGTTTTAGTCTGAAGACTTGTGATTTCTCCATTGACGGGGTCATAGAGGGACAGTCTTGTATATGGATCACTGCAACAAAAAGAGAGACACATTTAAATTCACATTCAGTTATGAGCTACTGTCTGCTCTTTATGTATTAGTGGTTTGTGTGGTCGGTGTGCTTTGAGATTCTACTTTATCTCTGAGGGAAGAAAAACACTTCACATGATTGTCTGAACAGATGAAACACAGCATTCAGACTTGGGACACATTAATATAATGGTCTGAACTGCTCTATGCTCTGAGGCACTGTGACATGCATTAAAACCACATCCATCAATCACATTACATTATCCATTACCCAATCTTAGTGCAACTTTAGGCCCACAGCAATGTGGTGTCATTAGTAATGTATTAAGTGACTGGCGTTGCAGAGTGATACAAATAGAGCAATTTTGGTTACTGAATGAACGATTAGTAGAAATAAAAATCCCCAAACAGCCAACAAAATGAACATTTTATAAACTCCTGATTAGAGATCACTGTTTGATTGCATTTAGAGGTTATGGAGAATTTTTTTTATGTTTGTTAACTGAGAATTTTAAAGAAAACATAAAGTAGGACAGAAACAAGGTGTGAAAAGTTCATAAACAGGGTATTAAAAATTATAAAATTATATTTGCAAATTTAGAGAACTGGGTTTGACTTTTTGACTGACCTGCTCAACACTCATTTCCAGCTCATGCTCTTGGAGGAAGTGCCAGTGTTACAAAAGTCAGGACTTTTTCCCACAGAAAATACCAGAGAAAAATTTCAAACTGAATGCGCTAAACTCAGATTCCTGTTGAGGCTGATGGTGCATTTTATCTGTGCCATATTTTTTTTAAGAATGAAGGATTTTATTGTTTTTTTAAAGTGAATGCCTGTTTACGAAAACGCCATTCTGAGCCTTAACAACCTAAGCCCTTCGAAAACACTCAAACTATAAATGAGAATTTTTCTTGCGAACAATACAGAACGCATTACTTTATGTCTTAATGGATTTTGGAGAGAATGGTCGACTCACCCAGAATAAATGAAGCACAAACTGATTCATGGTTCACTGCCAGATGTCTCTAATGTACCTGTGCTGTTTGTCTATGGGAAAAAAAATCATCACCTTCCTGTCACTCTCCATAATAGTTTAGAGGAGGACAAAATTTCAGCAAGTTCTCATTGTCCAGCATCACTGAAGATAACAAGGAAAACTGACAGGAAATGGCCATGAGATATGCACAGGAAGGATGAGGACGTTTATGTTATTCTTATTAAATTAATTATATTTGGGTATTGGATTGTAGCTTGAACAAAACAAGACATTTTAAAGACGTAATCTTGGCGTCTGGGAAATTATATCACCATTTTATGACATATTACAGAGTAAACATTTAATCAATTAATTAAAAGATGATCAACAGATTTATGTAGCGCTCCAATGATCAGTCAATTGCAAGAAAAAGAATAGAAAACTATTTTGATAATCGATTGATAGATAAAGGTTTTTTTCAAAGGCTAAAATGGGAAACATTTGATTATTCTAGCTTCTAAAGTGTGAGAACTTGCTGATTTTTGTGATAGTGAACTCAATATCTTTAGGTTTTAGGACTGCTGATCGAAAAAAAAAAAGATATTTGATGATGTCAGAATTGTTTAAGCGAGAAAATAATTGACGGATTAATTGATAATGAAACTAATAGTTTGCAGCACTATCTACAACTTACCTGGCTCCAAGTATATCTTTTTTGGCCAGCCCAATTCCAGCAACAACTTTCACTTTCAGGATTCTGGATTCATTCTGAAATAACAACAACAACAACAACAAAACATTAATGCATTCATGAATATGATAATGACATAAAGACAGAGATGCTGACAAGTGTAATTTATTAACCCTGATTGGAAATTACAGTCACACTTGAATCACAAACCATAAGACACACTCAAAGGAGGTTGATGAGAAAATAAAATAGGAAAACAACATAACTAAACTAAAAACTAGGATCATACTATGCCTTTGTGTTGGTATGGCAAGGTGCTTCACCACACACACACACACACACACCACAAAGAGGCATGTACACTAATTCAAGACCTTTAGTTGTCCCTGAGGGGTGATTAGTTTTGCAGCAGTAGCAATAAAAAATTAGACAAACATGATGACAAAAACAACAACAAAAAAAACATCACTAAAAATTCAAGTGTTTCTTCTGTGCTGACAATACCTGTTCTTTACAGAGGTGATCAGCGATATAGCAAAGGGTATGATTTTATATCTGTTTATATCTGTTGTACAGGTGTGTGGTTAG